AAGATAAGAGATAAGATAAGACTTTATTGATTCCACAACGGGGAAATTTTTGCATCACCTCAGCTCAGGTACAGATATCAGAAGGAAATACAAAAACACAATAAGTACAATCAATGAAAAAAAGTAAGATAATACACTATATACAATGGTAGCATACACAGTATGTGATCATGGATATGGTTGAAAATATGGAAGACATAAACTATATAGCTTGACATAACTATTGTACCACTACTATTCCTATTTATAGACATGTACACACACACATGTATACACTAAATATACATATGTATACATATACATACATATATACCTGCACATGTCCATACACATGGAAGGTCCATTATGCATGAAGTGGTGACCGTGGATGTTCACAGTGTCCAGTGAGTCATGACATCGTGATTGAGGAGTTATAGAGTCTAACTGCTGTTGGGATGAATGATCTGCGAAAGCGCTCCTTCCTGCAGCGAGGGTGTTTCAGTCTCTGACTAAAGGAGCTGCTCAGCCCACTCACATACTCATGCAGTGGGTGATGTGGGTTGTTCATGATGGATGTCAGCTTTACTAACATCCTCCTCTCGCCAACCACCTCCACAGACTCCAGGGGACATCCCAGCACGGAGCTAGACCTCCACACCAGTTTGTCAGTCCTGCTCCTGTCCCTGTCCGTGCTTCCACTCCCCCAGCAGGCCACTGCATAGAAAAGGGCAGATGCTACCACAGTGTCATAGAATGTCCTTAACAGAGTCCTGCAGACTCTGAAGGACCTCAGTCTCCTCAGCAGGTGGAGTCGACTCTGGCCCTTCTTATACAGGATGTCTGTATTTGTAGTCCAGTCCAGTTTATTGTTGAGGTGAACACCCAGGTACTTATAAGAGTCCACTATCTCAATGTCTTTCCCTTGGATGTTCACCGGTGTTGTAGGGGGTGACTTCCTCCTGAAGTCTATGATCATCTCCTTTGTCTTGCCGGCGTTGATTTGGAGTAAGTTGGTCTCACACCAGCCAACAAAGTCACTGATGACCCCCCTGTATTCCTGATCATTCCCATCTTATACGCATCCAATGATGGCTGTATCATCTGAGAACTTCTGTAGATGGCAATCGTCCGAATTATAACAGAAGTCTGAAGTGTAAAGGCTGAACAGGAAGGGTGAGAGAACCGTGCCCTGTGGTGCCCCTGTGCTGCAGATTACCACCTCGGACACACAGTCATGGAGCCTCACATACTGTGGTCTGCTAGTAAGGTAGTCGAATGATATCAAGTCATCTTGAGCAACAAACAACATTCCTGTAACAAGGTAGAAGCCGCAATCAGTTTTTGGCAGTGACTCTTATGTATCCTTTATTTATGCAGTTTAAAAAAATCTTGTTTACTTTAAAAATGTCTCTCTTAAGAGTAATCTGGCCAGGAGGACAGCTGAAATTGCATATATTAAACATATTTTAAGTGGACAAAAGGGAGCTGATTGATTATAATGTAAGTACAATAACACAGTTACAAAGATACTTGAGAAACAGGTAATTTTTTAATTTTATATATAACCCCTTTGTACTACCTGTTCACAGAAGTCTATTTAGTATCATACGTAACGATATTACACATAAAAAGCACACGGAAACATTGGAAATCACTTTTTTGGCACAACACCAGCTCAGATATTTGAAGTTTACACAGCTACATTCTCGTCTTCACGAGACAGGTGAAATCCACACAGCCAGCCCAGAATCAGGGATGCACCTATACCTTCCTCCACCAGCTTAAACTAAGCTCAGGACATCTGTTCCAGTTCATAGATACAAGGCCTTACTAAGTAAAGCACACTCCCCCAATCCACCTGACACAATATTAATAATAAATATTTTGATATAATGACACAACTACTTAAAAATGACATTTTTTGTGGATACACCTGCCTACATATCTGCCTGAAGGGGGCGTGGCTCCACCTCAGCTCCTCACTGAGCCATATTACACTACACCGTCCAATGTGTATAAAATATTTGTGGCCTACAAACTATTACACACACACTGAGCTCACATGTTTGGCTTTCACGTTAGCGCATCCAGGTAGTCTCGGCACAGAAATATAAATGGAGGCAAGGCTCTCGCTGATTTGGATAGGTTACCCATGATTCATTGCGGAAATGAAAAGAACCAGACAGATAGCAAGGCTTGTAAGAGTGCCTGGCGGAAAGTTCTCTGTGATACAGTATACGTGATTTATTCAACCTCCGTATTAAAACTCCTCTGCCCTCGCTTTTTGCACACACCCGTATGTAACTGTATGTGACAACAGCGCCCTATTTATAAGTCTGACGCTAGCGAAGCACGTGGTTGGTCCGAAGACAGTGGGACGTGGCACCTCCGCCCGAAGACTCTCAAAGAGGTCAGCTATCGTTCGCTCCGTGGATCACCTTGTGGCGCGAAATGTGAATCGCGGTCTCGTTTACGCGTTTGAGGTTCTCCTTGTGGATTTCCATGATGTTCAGAAGGTGAAGCTCAACCACGTCAACGTGTTTGCGACTCACATCCGGGCCACCTTGTGCTTCACGGAGCGACTGATGGCTGTGCTCCCTGTTTGTCTCGCCACTGTCAGTATTGATCAGCCTTTTACTAGCGACAGGCTAAAATGATAATATACCGGCCAGTGAACAGTTACGTTTATGACATGACAGCTACAATCAAACATTTTATACGCTGGTAGTCTTATTTTATTGTAGTCAGCTGTCTATTTATCTTCATTGACCCACTGTATGTGACTGAAAGCTGATTTGAATTCCCAAATGGATCCAGGTTTAGGGGCATGGAGTTTGAGTGCCGCCATGTGGCAGCCATCGGTACTGTCACAGAGTCTGCTGAGATGCAGTACTGGCATGGTCAAATCTAAAACACGGCGGCTAATCTAGGTTGATTATTTATTAAACTGTCCGTGTATCTGCAGTTTGAGTTGCCTGTACCACCCCCGACAACTGAGGAAGCGATCCTCAGGACTTTCTATGCAGGCGCTGTGGAAAGCATCCTGGTATGGGAACAGCTGCGTTAAGGATCAAAAAGCTCTTCAGAGACTGATCCGTACGGCAGAACGCTGCTGCAGGACTGCTCTCCCCTCCCTACAGGACATCTACACCAAGAGATGTTGGTCTAGAGCAGCTCAGATACTGAAGGACCCCTCCCTTCCCGGTGTTGTCCGGCAACAAACTGTCCAACTTCTACAATCAGGCAGAAGGTTCCGCATCATTCGGGCAAGAACGGACAGACTCAAGAGGAGCTTCTATCACAGGCCACCCTGGTCCTAAACCAGATGCCCCGCCACCTCCCGCATCCATAAATGGCTGAGACAGGATTTATTCTTAACACATCCAGCCTGATTCTTCTCGGCTTCACTACAGCACTGGACACTTTAACACCCACTCGCACATTGTACATTTTTAGATTTTCAAGTTAAAACTTTCCAGATTTTTATTTTAAATTTAACATTCACTTAATGTACACAATTCACTTACTTTCTGCATATAATGCTACTTACTGCATATTACTCCATATAATGTGGTCTTTTGTATAATTCGCTTAATGTAGTGTCCCCTCTTTTTGCAGAGTCAAAGAGCGTTTGATTTCATTGCGTGTTGTACTCGTATAACTATGCATGTGACAAATAAAGGATCTTGAATCTCTTGACTCTCGATATACTCATCAAGATTGCTTTTCTATCTTAGTAAAATCAAATGAAAAAAACCCGTGAGTTATATAGTCCACGGGATCCAAATTTTAAACATGGGGGGATATAACTTATAGAAAACCGAGACGACACATATTTGGTGGACAGTTTACACTGGCTCTGACCTGCCGGTGTAAGTAACGCATGTGATCGTCACAGCCTATCAAGAGCGTCTATTCTGCATAGATTACCCGTGGTTCATTGCGAGTGGGAAATGGCTCTCGGAAACTCTAAAGTTTGTGTAACTGTTTGACCCAATGGTCTCATCGATACCACGCTACGCAAATCACTTAACGATAGGTTTAAAAGTCAAAGAAGAATTACGTTTAAAAACCATCATGTAACCAGGTTTGTGCAGCGTGAGCTATTTATACTGTTTACAGCCACCACTTGCATGGCTGGTCCGAAGGTGGTACACTCTAACAAACAAATCCTTTCACACAAAGCTCTTCAGTTCAGTTAATACCGCCAGATATTGACCAGCTTTTTTTCCTCAGGTCACACGATTAACAATTTCGTGCATTGAACGTTTTATACCGCGTTTCTAACGATATAATGTGTGAACCCAGGTGGTCAAACAAAGAGTGTAATAACTTCACCAGTGTTTTGTCAAACAAATGTTGCTATAAAGATAAAAACAAAAATTCAGTTCACAATTCTTTCTCACAGTTTTATTTAGTAATGACGTATTGAGGTTGATTTCCGTGTCAAAGACAAGACAGTGCACAGTCAGGTTTCCCATGAGTCATTGCGGGTGTAAAATTACTTCAAGTAAACTGTAAACTGTTTCATACATTTTTATTTTTCATGATAGTATATGAGAAGTGTTTCAGTCTAGCATTAACAGCCAAAAACAGCATTGACGAAAAATTAACTAGTTTTTACTTAATTTAGTCTGGAAATGTTTAAACGAGTTTTTAAAAATGTTCAGGCTAAGTAAACAAACTTTTATAGCAGGACCTTGGTTTTAAAGTAGCAGTGCATTGTATCATTTTATAACCAAGGTTCACCTGACACACTTTGACAAACCTGACAAACTTTTGGTCTTATGATTTTGTTTGATCCACATAAAAGCAACAAAACAAACAAACAAACAAACGGTATTTATATGTCGAAGAGGCGCTATTTTTAACAGGTCTGTGCCATTGTTCAAGATGGTTGGTCCGATGAAAGTGAGGAAAACTCCCAAGACTTCTTAACTTACCCTCACTTTTGGTATTGACCAACTTTTTAGATTTGCTTATAATTGCTTTAAAATCAAAATCAAAACGTGGAAGAAACGCTGGTTCATCTTTGATCGCAACAGACGCACACTATCCTACTACGCAGGTAAGGACAGCGCACACTTGCAACCACACACAGCAAAGTCTGATTAAAAACCATTAAAAAACTCTCTGTGTAGATAGAATCACACACATAAATGTTAAAGTTGTGTATTTCTTCTAATTTGGCATGTACTCGTATGTTCTCTCCAGACAAGCACGAAGTCAAGTTGAAAGGAGTCATTTACTTCCAAGCTATTGAAGAAGTATACTACGATCACTTGAAGAATGCACACAAGGTATGCATTCTCCAACGCTGATACAAAAAGTGCATCATAACTCTTTCTTCTTCATTCACAATTCATTCTCTCTCCCTCCTTCAGAGCCCAAACCCCTCCCTGACCTTCAGCGTGAAGACTCTCAATAGGGTCTACTACATGGTTGCTCCCTCTCCCGAGGCCATGAGGATCTGGATGGATGTGATCGTCACAGGCGCTGAGGGATACACTCAGTTCATGGTGTAGTGAAGCAGATGTACGGGCCTCATGTTTTTTTTTATGCTGCAGTCCTTTGTGGGTTTTGAAGACAAAAGTATCAGCAGTGTTGGGCAAGTTACTTTGAAAAAGTAATTAATTATAGTTACTAGTTACTTCTTCAAAAAGTAAGAGAGTTAGTAACTGAGTTACAAGATTCTAAAAGTAATTAATTACTTGAAAAGTAACTATTGCATTACTTTAAAAACAGAATATGTTTAACCCTCTGGGGTCCAGGGTATAATTGGCCACTAAGCTCAGGACATCTGTTCCAGTTCATAGATACAAGGCCTTACTAAGTAAAGCACACTCCCCTAATCCGCCTGACACAATATTAATAATAAATATTTTGATATAATGACACAAAAATAGTCAAGTATCATGCAGCAGAAAGACGTGTCTGAGATTTGTAACAAACCAAACTGCTTAAAAACAAAGAAAATGTCGTGGATACACCTGCCTACATATCTGGCTGAAGGGGGCGTGGCTCCACCTCAGCTCCTCACTGAGCCATATTACAATGTGTATAAAATATCTGTGGCCTACAAACTATTACACACACACTGTGCTCACACGTTTGTGCTTTCACGTTAGCGCATCCAGGTAGTCTCGGCACAGAAATATAAATGGAGGCAAGGCTGTAGCTGATTTGGATAGGTTACCCATGATTCAATGCGGAAATGAAATGAGTCAGACAGATAGCAAGGTTTGTTAAAGTGCTTTGCGGAAAGTTCTCTGTGATACAGTATACGTGATTTATTCAACCTCCGTATTAAAACTCCTCTGCCCTCGCTTTTTGCACACACCCGTATGTAACTGTATGTGACAACAGCGCCCTATTTATAGGTCCTATTGTGGTGCTCGACTTGTTGGTCCGAAGGCAGTGGACTTGGGCAAAAGCTCCTGAGACTCGCAAGATTATCAGTTACCGTTCGCTCCCTGTCTCACAATATGGCACCAAGTATGAAACACAACTATGAGAGAATACTTGTAATTCACACAAGGTGCTGCGTTGTGGGTCATGGAGTAGACGGTGTCTGGGCTCCTTGCCTTTCCGTCACTGCCAGTATTGATCAGCATTTTACTGGCAATGCTAACCTGGAAACATACTCCAAAAAAAGCACACACTTTTAATTGCGATCAAGAAACTGTGACCTACACATCACTGAGACTTTTGTGCAGCAGATAGAGAAACGAGAGCTCAGGAATATCTCTAAAGAAGGTTCCTCTTTTGTTTACCGTTTATCCCCTGCAACCATCATTACTTCCCTTCTCCTCTTTTGTTCCACTGATTGGCTCTTATGTTTTTTTGTTGCTTAACTGTACTCATCCGTTGCACATTACAGTACTGTGCAAAAGTTTTGAGCGCCCCCCTCCCCACTAATATTTCAAGGAGCCAGAATTTCTTATTATTTTTTAAAGTAGTCTGGAGCAATATCTCTCCAGACTTTGTAGAGGGCTTTCAAAGTTTGTTTGTTTGGGGGGGTTTTTTCGTGCTTGTCATTCATTTTAAGTCCAGATCTTGTTCCTGACCATTTTCGGAGGAATACTTTTTATTTGTTAAGCCACTTAACACTGACCTATAAATCGTTCATGCATAACAGAAATAATAAACTTAGAAAAGAATCAATTCAAATGACATCTTTAGGTACTTGGTTATTTGCAGCATGTTTTAAAAAGCACATTTGCTTCCAATTCTAAAGCTGAATATGAAAAAGTGCCAAAGATAACACTTAAAATTGTATTTTTGCACTAAGGTGATTCCAAAAGAGCTATTATCCAAAATCTTGACATATCTTGTCATGGTGTGAATGAATGGATAAATGGAGAAGTAATAAATACGAAGGAAGAAGTAGCAGGCTTAAATGTCAATATCTGAGAGTCACATCCTTAAAAAAAAAAAGGAAAAACCCACCAAATTCCTGACATGGAACAGCGAGATGCATCTGACCATGCAGCTGATACCCCTACTATTCCCTAAAGTCTCATCAGAAATCAGTTTTCATGAATGCTGGCTGTCAATAAGCCATTCTTAAGGAAGGGAAACAGAGAGAGAAAGCTCAAGCCAGATTACACAATTGAATATCAATAGACTGGGGCTGTGTCTCAGTCAGTGGTGTTGGGGACCTTTCACAAAATTGATGGAATTATGAACACATAAAAGTACTTTCAATCTGGGAAGCATGTGATTAGTAACACCTTCATTTTTTAGAATTATGATAATCCCAAATACACTGCCAATGCAGTAAAAGGATAGCTGGATAAAAAAAAAAGAACACACACACACACACAATGGAACCTCCCCAGAGCCCAGACCTCAACATTATTCAAAGCAGCGTGGGGTCATCTTGACAGAAAACAGAAGGAAAGGCAGCCAACATCCACAGAAGAGCTTTGAATGTCCTTTTTCAAGAAACCTGGAGAAGTATTTCTAAAGGTCATCACACCCAATATTGACTGTTATGTTCAGCTGTACAATGTTTGCATTATATTCTGTATTTCCAGTGATGTTTGCACATGTTTCAATAGATTTTTCCAACTATTTCCTATTTTCCAAGCAAACCATAAAGAAATGAGGGTAACAAGACTTGCGTTTGAACACCATCATGTAAGCGGATATGTGGCACGCCACGTATATATACTGGTAACAGGCTCTCTGTGAACGGCTGGTCCGAAGGTGGTACTATGACAAACAAACAAATAAACAGGGAGAGAAACAAACAAACAAAGCTTCAAGAAATTAGTGGCTGTACATGCAGTCATTGGTTTCGGCCAATACCGCCAGATATTGATCAGCTTATTTTTTAATCAGGTCACAAGATTAACCTTTTCGTGCATTGGAAGTTTAAACCGCGTTTCCAACGATATAATGTGTGAACCCAAACGGACAGACTTTGAAACACTGGTGAAGTTTCACCAGTGGTGAAGTGGCGAAGTAAAAACTTCACCAGAAACAGCATGGGAAAAAAATTAACTACCGATATATAGATTTATACGTCGAAGAGGCGCTATATAAGAGGTCTGCGTCAGTGTTTAAGCTGGTTGGTCCGATGAAAGTGGGGACTCCACAAAACGCCAGAAACTTCTAAACTTACCCTCACTTTCGGTATTGACCAACTTTTTCTAACAGTAGTAATACAACAGCTTCTCTGAACGTTATCTTTATAGCACCAATTGACCCCTAATAATTTTAGAATTGCTTTAAAAATTCAAAATTGTAAACATTTAGCGACATTAACTTATAGAATTTTTTTTTGTATGTTGCTCCATGCATAAATTGTGTGAAAGTCATGATCGAGTTGGGAAAACCTGCCACCACTAGAGGGAGCAGTGCGGTGGAATTTAAAAAGCAGGTACTTAAGAGTTTCACCTGACACAGTTCAAGAAACCTGCCCAACATTTCATCTGATGGACATTAACCAGAAATAACAGAAGACTTGTTCACCTGACTGATCACCACTACCAAGTGCATAGTAGTCTGTAGTCTGAATCTCCTGCCTACACCCCTGTGTTAGGTAGGCGTGTCTTGACCTGACCAGTGTCGCAGCTTCCTTGGTTTATCGTCCTATAGCAGCAGCCAGTGCAATTTGATTGGCTCTATGGAGTGCATATTTACCCATGATTCATTGCGTGCTCTGAAATTCGTCAGGTAAATTGGGATTTTTGTAAGATTGTTTCACACAGTGTTCTTTTTGATGTTGCGGCATGTAACTTATTCGAGTTTAATATAAAAACCCAGGGAACTCTAGTTCGTGAACACCCGTATGTAACCTGAAATGTTTACAGAGACTTATTAATAACCCGTGATCGCCAATGTTTTGAGGTTGGTCCGAATACAGTGATGAACACGTCGTGTCTCACGTTGAATGCAGCTTGAATATTCTCGTTGAAACGTGTTCAGTCACACAGCCGTTACCTCTGAAACTCTGCCAATGAAATGAACGAACGAAATGAACGAAACGAAACTTTACTTGTGTATCTCTGACTCACGTTCAACGCTGTTGGTATTGATCAGCCTTTTCTTAATAATAGACTAGACTTCGCTGGTTTCAAAGGATGTCTTTAGCTCTCACTAAGCCACACTTCGTGCTTTTTGTTTTAGTCATTTTTAGTCATTTTAATTAAGATGGCGCGAGCAGTCGCAGCGGCCCGTGTGACGGCGCTCTCCACAAGTTAGCGGCTTTCTTTTTTATTTTGTGTATTTTTAATTTCTCCTCCGATTAGCAAGAGCACATGTGCAGTACAGTAAAACTGAAGTGCTCACGGTTCTAAACCACATAAACCTGCAGCACACTTTTGCCTGTAATGACTGCGCTTCTATCCCCCCTGAGATCCGAAGGAACACGGACTCCAACTTCACCATACAACTGCTGAAGTGGCGCAGGCGAAGGACAAACAAACTCCGTCCCCTGCGCCACTTCAAATTCAAATTCAAATAATTCAAATTTTATTTGTCACGTACACAGTCATACACAGTACGATATGTAGTGAAATGCTTGGACAACTGCTCGTGACCTAAAGAAAACAGAAAAGGAAAAGGCTATGAATAAGATAGGAAATAAATATGAAAAATTAAAAAGGGTAAATTTAACTAAGAAGGAATAAAATATAAATTAAGGTTAAAAATGAAATAACTGTACAAGACAAATTAGAATGAAGGGTAAATTTAACTGGGAAAGAATAAGATAAAATATATAAATTAAAGTTGAAAATAAAATAACTGTACAACAAAATACACAATATAGAACTATATAAGAATGTATGAAGAAATATAAATAAATATACACACAATAACAGCAGCTGTACAAGTATTAACTGGAAATGAAGAATGTAGTGACCAGTGTTGTGCAATCCACATTATGTCTTGTGCAGTGCAAATATGCTTA